TCAGTTGTTGTGAATTGAGTTATGCTACTCGAATCTTCTGAAAATTTTTCTCCTTGCTTTAAGTGAGTGCTGTTACATCATAACGTCTCGTAATTTGTAGAAAGTTCTAGGCCTCAGTCGGGCAGTATATATATAAATAGGCGACCAAAATAGTGCAAAAAAGTAACTTAGTGAAAGCGAAAGTAAAAGTTAAAAAGTTCTTAGACTGCATGATTTTGAGTTTAGCCATAATGAGCATATAGTGGCGATTTATAAAGTGAAAGTATCAAAGCTTGTTTTGTAATAACAGGGAAGAAGAATTTGTCTTGTCAAAGGATGTTCTAATGTAACTGAACCTGCCTATGTGGACTTTGAATGAAAAGAAACGATTATTGGAAGCACTGAATATAAATGTGATAACCTCTAGTGTAAAAAAAATGTTTGTACATAAGTTGATATGTTTTGAATATATTACTTTGAAACAAGTGGATTGTTCGCTGTCTGTTTATTGTTGAAATTTATCGCCAACAAATCACAGACATCTACTGTAAAGAATTGTGGCCCTATAAAAACCTGAAAGTGTTTCATTTTTTCCTCCAATTGCCTTCTATAATTTTTACATTACTTTGATTGAAAATTGCAACCTAAATCTGACAAGAATTCTTCCGAAAACCCGATCTGTAAAAATATCGCTATAAGCTTTCACACTGTTTTCTCTGTTTCTGTATAATCTAGTGCTACTACTTCTACATACATAATGGCAGAATCGACCACTGGCAGAATATATTTATTCCCTTGTTATGTTACTGGAAGTGACCCAATAATATCAGCACTAACCAATTAACCATTGAGCATTTTACTTTCATGCACTTCTTATCAGCTAGCTGACATGCTGAACCTCTCCTTACATAAGTCTCTATATCTCCAAACATTTTGAACCAATAATATTATTTACTTATTATATCTTCTATTTTAGTTGAGCCTGAATGTCCTGATGAAACAGATGAACTTTACGTGAAGCAGCAGCCAACGAGATGGAGACCAGTACAGAAGAAGATACGTCCCGTAAAATTAAGAGACTTTGTCGAATTTAAATTTTGTGTTTGTAAATTCTGTCCATTTAATTATGTTATTGTTAATTATCTATTGGTTTAATGTAAGTGGCTATTGTGTCCTCCTTGTGTAAAATACAATAAATCATCCTTTAATGTATTTAATTCGCTTTGAAATTTACTAAGCTTTTCCATTTGTACTTCTAGTTTAGTTTCTTATTCCAGTTGCCACTGCTGTAGTCTCTCTTCTTGTTTATTTTCTCGTTCTTCTTGTTTCTTTTCTTTTTTCTCCAACAGCTGTTGTAATCTCTCTTGTTGTTTCTTTTCTCGTTCTTCTTTTTTCTTTTCTTTTTCATCCAACAACTGCTGTAATCTCTCTTGTTTATTTTGCTGTTCGAGCTGCCACTGTTGCATGTTTTCTTGCCACTGCTGTAATCTCTCTTCTTGTTTCTTTTCTCGTTCTTCTTATTTCTTTTCTTTTTCCCCAACAACTGCTTTAATCTCTCTTGTTTATTTTGCTGTTCCAGCTGCCACTGTTGCAGGTTTTCTTCCCACTGCTATAATCTATCTTCTTGATTTTTTTCTCGTTCTTCTTGTTTCTTTTCTAGTTTTTTTTTGTTTCTTTTCTCGTTCTTCTTGTTTCTTTTCTTGTTCTTGTATTGCTGCCATCAAATCTGCTAAGCTGTAGTTTGATTTGCCACCTCTCATTTCCATTTTCTTTTTCATTCGTCCCACTCTTTGACACTAATTTGTTAAGTCTGTGTTCGTTTGTTAATTTTTCGTAGAAATTCTTTCCGAGAAACTTCAGCGATACAAGTCTTTTCTTAAATAAAACTAGTTTATTCTTTCTCAATTCAACTTTGCAGTACACTTAATTTTCACAGTCACTTTAACTTCAACACACGCTATACTTCACAACGAACGATTCAAGCACTTTACTTACTACTGCGCTTGACTCGATTGTCCGTCTCTATCTCTGCCTGTCTTCAATTCAGTTATTGCCGTCACTTTATTTGCCGGCTTATATACT